GTTTACATCTTCACTCTGAATTGAATGCAGCGCCAGGCAAGGCTTGTTCACACACACACACACTCTTCCTCCCTTCTTCTCTTTGAACGCACACACAACCACAACCTGTCTATGAAACCTTCCTCAGAGCATGCATTTGAAGAAGAAAAATAATTCCCTTCTTAATTCATTGTGTTATGTGTCATTTTTCAAATGAATGACGTTATCATTCTTTGTCATGCTCTTTTTCTTTTGTCATCAAATGTTATCAAATGGTTCAATCTGAACGTCGTTAAGAAAACAAGCTCCATCTAGTAGCTGTTCTCATCATATCTCATGATCATCTTTAGCAGATGGAGTTTGCTCAGTTATCATGGAATTATTGTAAATGTTTATATTTATATTCCTTTCTGAGCCCTTCAAGAGCTTCTTGTCCACGTTGGCTTAAAAGCTGAGATTCAAAGTTTACTCTTGACCCTGGAAACATCCCCATGTGCGGATGAAGGTCATCATATGCCTCAGAACAGCTATTAAAAAGGACCTTGCGGGGAGATTGTTTTCTGTTTCCAAGGGCAAGAATGAGAGTTAAACCTCAATCTAAATAAATAATAAATAAATCCACAAAGAAACACATTATGTGTGTATTTAAAATAAAAAAAGACAGTAAACAATCATCAATAGAGAATCAAGTGGACAAGAAAAAGTCATTTCTGGATGTTGTGTTGTTTAAATGTCTTTAAATGGCACTTGTGTTTGTCAATACCTGTAATGTTTGGGTGATATAAAACTCTCTTGATACTCATACAGCACTGACCATTGATCTGTCATCCAACATGCACAGTGAGTAACAACAGTGATCGTGCATCTTTCCATTAGCCTGAAGACACAGCTATCACTCCCTCTTCATACATTCATACATACATTTCTCTGTGTTTAATGGCAGTGTCTGTTTGACGGCTCCGCGCTAACACAATTTTCCAGAAAACCAATTTGTTGGTTGTCAGCCAGAAGCCCCTTTTTCTCATTATTTGTCAAAAAGCGATTTGTTCCTGTGAGTTTAGGGCTCTTCTCTGTTGATATGTGCGAGAATTTACTTCCAGGGTAAACAAAACGACGGGATGAAGTAATTGGCTGCCAGTTTTCCATGTAAGGTTTACCCGATTGCCTCTCTGATCAACCACAGACTCCTTCAAAGGCCTAACTATTCGCAGTATAACACATCAACACTGACACTTACATACAGCAGTTATACGGCCAATAATTCGCTCTCATCTACGCAAACAAAGAGATTCTCCTTGGATAACACGATTTTAAGGCATAGTAAGCATAGTAAACATCCTTACAACAGCATGAGATTTAGCACTGGGCAACACTTTGCTCTGGGGACAGCATGATAAATAAAATTTGGCCTGATAAATAAATGTAGAGCCTGTGTATTTAAAGGCCTCTGGATGAGATTATTAGCAGCTCACACAGCGATTAAAGCCAACTTAAGAAGTCGCCAGCGGCTGTGTTCCCACTGCCTAATTGAAACCATTCCTTATTTACTCATCTCAACTAAGGGGATCAGAGAGCAAGCAAAGACGGTTTCATTTTCTACTTAATATCTACTGCCTCGTGAATCATGTGCACACGCTATAGCATCCCTCTGGGGAAAGGACAGGGTGTTCATGTCGCACCGAAATGAAGAGGGGAGGAAAGGAAAAAACAAAATCACAGATCACAGAAGGATTAATTCCATTTCTAAAGGCAGCCAGCGGTGGAGGCTGGGGAATAAGGGAGGGAGGAGGAGCAGAGGGGGGGAAAGACGAATACGTTTCACCCGTTTGCGATGGCGGCCTATTTCTTTGTGTTAATTCCTCTACGCCTTTTAACTTCTAAAGCTCCTGCATTGTGGCGCAGTAGGACAGAGTGTGATTGAGAAATTTTGAGTATTTTTAGCCAAAGCACTCACATGCCCTGGGGGGACAGCATATGATTTTTTTCTCCCCTTCTTCCTCTTCTGCTTCTTTCGTGGTTTCACAATGAACCTCTGGATTGGTGCCCAGAAGGAAGAGTTGGGATCCGAACTAAATCAGCTCTCTAGCTACATCACAGGAGCAGCCTCCTGATTGGCGCTAGCAGGCTTGTTCCAGAAATTCCTGCCTTGCCTTCCTGATGATGTTGTGAGGCACGCTAAATGCACTCCACATCATTGTGTTAAAGCCTGCACAAAATGGATGAACAATGTCACACATATGAGCTTTTGTTAAATGTGTCTGTCTGGTTTGTTGAGGTGTAACATGTGGGGAGTGATAGATTGAGTGCAAAAGGATTATAATAATCTCATTCCTAAAGAATTACAGTTGTAATCAATTACAGATATTGGAAAGACATTAAACAGATTAGAGATACAACCTGGTTCCTTTTTTAAACAGCTCAAAGGCATTTGAAGGAAAAGTCTGGAAACTGCCCAAAACTAGTATAAAACTAGTACAAGTATGTATGTAGTATGACTGAAGTTGTTATGGTGCTTTTAGATTGAATGCAAACATTTTTCACCTCTCTTTATTCACGCAAATTTGAGTGCTGTTCAGAGTTCAAATGTGGGACGAATGACTGACCTGAATTTGACCTCTGATGCCCTCGTGCTGCATCGTGGGAAAAACAACTACACTGACTGTGAATCACATGAGCACAGACCATTTTATACAACTCAAAATTATATTTATGTCTGTTGATACAGAACAATTATAGTCATATTTGCAGTGAGAGATTAAGAGTTGGAGTACCAGTTACATTCAGGTTCTGCAGATTTCAAAGAAACATCCAGAAACAATCAGATATAGCACACACACAGTGCATTATATCTAGTTTGGGGGTTTTAAATATTGAGTATTCTAGATCCAAATGCACCTTAAAAGTGCTTTTTCCAGCCTTGCCATAGACTATAATGTTGTTATTTGACCAAACACACAAAAACCACTTCTGGCATGGTCTCGCCAGTCAGCTCCACCCACACTCGCCCTCCCTGTGACCTCCCATTGTACTTCTGTACTTTGACTTTTCCCATGGATCTGAACCTTTCGTTCTGTCTCATTGACTCTAATTAGCCGGAGTGGCATTTCCCACATCTTGTGACAGCTCGTACAGACAACCAGACCTCCTCTCTATCTCTCTCTCTCGCTCTGGTCTCTCGTTTTGCATCCAGCTCTTTGTCTTGGCACCCACCCACGCGCCCCAGCTGTTTGGCCTACAGTAAATGTCGCCTCATACAGCGTACTGCTGGGATCCCAGTCATCATGCATCTGGGGCCAAGCACCATCTCGATCACGGTTTGTCTAACTTTCCCTCTCTTTTTTGACCTCTCTGCCATTTCTTCCTCCATTTTTCTTGTCCACCCTCCTCTCCTTACCACTATAAGCCCTCCGTCTAATTGCTCCCATTCCTGAACCTGAACCACTCTCCCTTCCCCCACTTATTACCATACATCCTGATTGGCTGCTGTTGCCTGACAGAAGCTGTGTGTGGCTTGTAACACAGCTGGTTGCTCGCTGAATCAGGTCGTCACCAGCGGCTGCATGCTGCAGGTTTTCATCCCTCTGGGAGGTGGGCTGGGGGGGATGAGGAGAAAATAATGCAGAGGAACAGCTCTGCACAGCAACTCCATCCTTAACTTTATTTTTTAAACAACCAGCCACTCACTGATTGCTGCTCATTAATGTCAGGCCCCTGTCCGCTCTCCTTGGACAGTCAAGTTGAGTTGAGAGGGAATCAAAGGAAGTGTCAGAATATAGAGAGCTGCTGTGATACAGAGCCTAAGCAATCAGCTCTGATTGGATTTTGATCCACTCTTATTAACTCCCAGATTGAGGGGATGGAGCGAAAAGTGTGATGCTAATTGCCAAAACAAACCGGGAATGACTCTAAAATCAGTGTTGGTATCTGAATTGCAAATCTTTACGTGGTTTCTTTTTTTTTTTGGAAAGCAATTTTCCTTCTTGTCTAACCGTTTGGTGCCTCTTCATCTCTGTTGTGCTGTTGGGTACAATTATTAAAGAATGTGTAAAGTCAGGTAGGTCTGGCTGTACCAGATCTGTTCTACAAGACAAGACCACACACTTATTAAATGGAGGAAATCAAAAGGAGGCTAACTGCTGTGAAAAAGGATATACATTTCCAACATTTGCATAATGTGACAGAAATAGTTCAGATACTAAGAGCTGCAGTAGAAAATATTTCTCATGTGGTTTTCTTTCATAAGTTTACTTTAGTGTCATCTTAAACTGAATGCAGTAGATGTTTCCTGCGGTTATACCCTGTACGACTAAATCTGTGCAAAACTGTTCTCACTAACATCTCTTGCAGCAGGGAACACAACACAACACTGGTAGAACAGAATTAACTGTCAATAGAGGCTACATTCAGCAATAAGGCAGGAGCCTGTATCATATATTTTGGGGCTACAACGTTGAACAAGGGACAGATGTGGGTCAGCGAGGCAATGGGGGTCAGGTGCGCACAGAGGATTAGGATCAGGTGATTGGCAAATGGTGGGAAAGTCTGTGGGCATCTGGTGGACAGGTGGGGAATGATAAGGCCTGGAAAGGTCCATGAAGAGGCAGGTGTTAGAGAATGGTTGTGAACAGGCAGGGGAAGTGATATCATGACAGTAAATGTCAATTTCACTATTGCCAGTTGAAAGTGATTCATACGGCAGGAAATTGTGTTTACCTTTGTTATTCTAAATGTAGCTTTTTTCTGAGAAAAATATTCTGTTTTAATTGCTTTGGCTACTCAGCAGTGATTTGTTAAGAATAAAGGGAAGAATAAGAGCATTATAGACACAAGCAGTGACTTCCACCATGGCTGACAGGACTACAGACAAATTATATTTCATAAACAGAAATCCAGACTCATTCAAATTCAACAGCACAGCCATTAGCACTTATAGATGTGTCCAAATAAAAGATGACCTTTACAGTCATTCCACATACAAATTGTTTTGTCTCACACATTCTCTCCCTGTTGGTGTCTCTCAGGTGGGACGTCCACGCTGCGTCTCTCGTCGGTGCGGGAGCTGCCAGGCCAGCTGCAGGAGCTTTACCAGCAGGGCTTTGTCCTGGCAGCAGTTCACCCGTTCATCCACCCCTGTGGTCCTGAGTCCAACAGCCCTCAGCATCAGCTTTACCGGGCCATACTGGTCCGACTTAACGACGGGTAAGAGCCACATGAGAGTGATTTTTGACTATTAAATGTATAATTACCTGACCCTGGGAATACATAAAGGAGAAAAGGGTCAAAACATTAGTTTCTACGCAGACAAAGCTAATGGAAACATCCACCTACAGTTTCTGCAGACAGTTTAGTCATTAAAGGTTAGCGACAATGGCAAGTTCTCTGCTGAAGGAAGATGCACAGTATAACTATGTATACTGGTACTTAAGGATAATTGTTTTTGTCTTCTACAGACATGTACTAAAACATTACCCTGATGACCCAAAACATTTTTATATTTCCTCCTGCAAGAGGACACTGAACACTGCAGTTTTTTTAATACTAAAAACAAATTTTTCAGAAAGAAAAAGTGAAAAATAATAATAACGCATATATTTATATGTAGATAAAGAGAAAGGGCCCTTATTAAAAGTGTAAGATGTATTTTACTAAACCAAGGCGGGGGGACTGGTCCTCAAGAAATTATCCTTGAGGTGCCTCCGACATCTTAGCTACACCCATGAGAATAAGACCTTTGTTATCACAAAAAAGTGTAGCCATTATGGTCACAAAATGTTGATTACTTTAATTGGTGTCATTATACAGAAAAACACTTGATGGGAATCAGGTTTTACTTTATTTTCATGTGTTAAATGGTACAAAAATGGTATGCCGGCTAGTTGCTAAGTGACATTAGGGTTTTTATCATAATTATGCAAATTTACAGCTACTGTTTTATGCTTCAGAAATGATTTTTATGTCAGTAATGTGGGATAAATATGAGCAAAGAGATTTCCAAAATGGCTAAAAAACACTGAAGGTTCATGTTGCATTTCATATCAGTTGCACAACCTTTCAGTGTTGCTTCTGTATCTAAACCAGAGCATCACAACATCTGTTTGTGGCTCAGCAAGCTGTCATGTGGGCAGCTGTATTTGGAAGTGAGTCAGCAATAATCTCAATTCTCTATCTCCAGCTCTTTCAATGATCTGGCCAAAACTGGCTGCATAGCCCAAAGTCACCGCCGCCCCCTACATCTGCCCTCCAGCCCTGTGCCCGATCCCCTCTATCCTGGGAACTGTGGGGGGTGGGGCGGGGTTCGGTCAGGGAAGGATGCCATGGAGCGGCTCCGAGGGTGGTTGAAGGGCATGTAGGGGGATTGAATCCTTTTAAAAAATCACTTTTGCTGAAACTGCTAGCTTTTGGGAAAGAATTCTTCCTCAGTTTTGAATGGGTCTGACAGCACAGGGGTCATGAAACATGATGAGAAGTTCTTTTGTTTTTTGCTCTGGCAGCAGTGACATGCAGACAGGCGGAGTCAAGCAGCTGAAGCCCCAGTGGTTGCTCTGTCTGGCTCTGAAGTCCAGCGAACATCCAGGCCTGTTTACCAAAACACTGTTCCCTGGCCGCAGGGCATAGATGTGTGTGAGGGTGTGTGTCTGCTGTACGTGAGTGTTAGTATGTGTCCGAAGAGGTTATAGATCCAGCACCTTTCACTTCTTCTATGGATTGTTTTATTTTTTGTTTCACATACTAACTCTGGTTGCGTTTTTCTGCATTGCGTCTTGCGCATATTGTAGCTTTAAGTGAGTGTGTGTGTGACATTGTACAGGATTAATCTTACTCTCTGCTGTTCTTGAGCAGAATCCACCATCTTTGCCTCACAGCTAAAAACACATTTCTGAACACAGACAAACAATTTTTGTAATTTCTTTACTGTTAAGAATAAATACGACACCACTACTACTAATCTACGTTGACATCTCAGTCATTTAGCTAACGCTCTCACCCACAGCGACAGTACAATAACTGCAGAAAACCAATACCCGATATTACAAGCAACCAAGAGTAAGGAGTGTAATAATCCGAGCTGCTGTGCCCTGATAGTTTTGCTGCAACCATAGACTGATCATTTACCAACCACACGGAAGACATAAAATAAATACTAAAGAGAGACTGTGAAAGGACTTTGTTGTTGTTGTTTTCAGAAAAATTAATGAATAGAGGATCAGAGATGCGATTCAGGAGGGAGAAGGAGGATGACCGGAGGGAATTTGGTGAAAAGATGAATTTAAGATAAGATTAAATAAGATGAAACTTTGTTGATCCTCATGGGAGAGCTAAGTTGGAGCAGAAAATGTAAGGATTCAACATAAAACACAAAAAATAATATGAGCAAGAGCATAACAAAAGATAAGAGCAGTGAAAATAATACAGTCTAAAAGTAATAAATTAGAAGCAAAGCAATTAATTGGTTTGTGCAAATGTGTGCTGATGATAATTTAAATTCTTAGGTGCAGTGAGAGTGTGCAGAAATTGTGTCCTGAGGAAAAACAAGTTTTCAAGTTATTGCCAACAGTCTAACATGGCTGTTTGCTGGTGTTTGTTGGAGATATCAGGGTTTGTTTTTCCCCCCTTAGAAGAAACCACAGCTTTTTCTTGTTGTACAGTGTGAGAAACAACCTCCACAGCGTGAGATAATTCATCACAGCAAACATGACAACTTAATTTGGGTTTGTCAAACTTTCTGTTTTATCATTATTCACTGTAATTTTCCCAGAGTGGTGCAGTGCAAGGTGTTAAGATATGCCTCGCTTAGTGTCAATCACCTGACAACCACAGGAAGAAACTGAATTATCTGAAAAAAAAAAATCTTTTAAAAACTTGTTGCCGTATACTCCTCAGATCCAGGTCTTGTTATCCGAGGCATCTTCATCCATCAGGATTGCATTCAGTTCAAGATGAAGTTTTTAATTCAAAAGATAAATGTTAAAAGAGTATCCCTCATTAGTTGTGTTTCCATTACATCAAGTCCTCATACCTAAATGAGAAAAAAGGCTATTGAATCAGAGGTTACAGAAACGTAGGGCGATATGCAGGAAGGTTCTTATATATTCGATATCTTCTATGTTTCTCAGCATCTCTCCTGAATTTATCAATGCCATAGGTTGATGTTATGTCCGTCTGTTTAAAATTTATAAAAATTTTGTCCCTCATCAGTTTGGTTTAGCAGATGGCATTCAATGGTACCTCTGAGTCTCAGCAGCCACTGCTTTTGAGAAGAAGCCATTCAGAGGCGTGAATCAGAGCAGTAGTAAATTCAGAACTGTTGGTCATTACTGTTGGGAAAAAACACAGTGCAACATTTGCTGAATTAATCCAAAATTGACTCAGAATCCACAAGTGAAGTGATTTAAACTGCTAAATGTTTGATCAGGTTTCTACTGTACATAGTGTAATCTTTTAGCTCAGCATTAGTGGCGCATGCAACAGAGGTTTAACCTCAATGATTGGATTCTCTTACTGAAACACTTGGGAGTTGTTGTTGACTTGTCTCCTTACATTTTTATGAACACAATTGTACCTTTGACGTTTTATCCAAGATCCAGAGATTTTCTAACTCAGTTGTTCATCTTTTATACTGTTGATTTAACCTGAATCACACCCAACCAAGCCTTGGATCCACCAGTTACAAATCATTGTACAGGAAAAAGAATGTGACTTTTACTTTTGGAACCCTGTAATAACTAATAATAATTCCTATCATTTTGCACCTATTTTGTAAATTTATAAAGGTGACTATAACGCATCTATTGTGTAATGAGAACAAGGCAGTCTGCCACATTTAGGAAGGTCATATAGTTGAAATTCATGGCACCTTATCTGCCTTTTCCTGTCCATTAGTAATCACCTCCCATGCTGTTGTGTAGAACACCTCAGGTTCACTTTCGGCATGCCCAGACCAAGCACTGCTCAGCCGTCCGCTGCTGCAAAACTGGACAACAGAAATATTGATCCTGTATGAAAAGACTACAGCTGAATGGACTGCATCTCTGCTTTTTTGAAAAGACATGCTTGCCTTGCTCTGGAGAAAACGACACCATGAGGGGGAACAGAGGAAGAAAAGAAAATCAAAGTTGCAGTGCGAAGAAGTAGAGAGAGGAAGACAAAGGAAGGCTGAATGGGATAAAAAAAAAAGTACGGAGAAAGAGAGACATTGAGTGAAAAGGGCAGAGGAGTCTACAATCCTTTGATGGCCCCGGCCGAAAGCGGGGCCCAGGCTTTATCTCCAGCGTCTGTAACCGTGGAGACAGCTGCTCACATCAGCACCAGCCCAGGGGAATCAAAATCTCCACCAGGGAAAAATGAAGGAAAAGAAACCAAAAATCAGAGCATCTCCTCTCAGTTCCCTTTCACTGTCAGAAATCAAAAGAAAAAGAAGACTGGGAGGGGGTTGGTGGGGGTTACAGTGAATGGGACTGAGAGGCATGACATTGAGCAGCCATTCATCCCTCGCTCCAAAACATACAGCTTTTTGCAACTGCGCTGAAAACAAAGCGAAAGTCAAGGTAGAGGAGCTCACTGGTGTATAGGCATCTTTATTTAACATGCACAGTATGTCGAAACAATCACAGTCAAGTCTCTACAGTATTAGCCTCAGTTTAAAAAGCTTAGCCAATGAGGCTCTTTCCATGGAGAGGGTGACGCTGCAGGAATCCATGCACAGTCAGGAACTACACAGAGGTTTGTGTACATACAGCGCTGTGTCATCTGTAAATGTTAAGACACTGTCACCTGACTGACATATCTGGTTAAATGGGTTATAACTTTAGAAACCTTAGATGGTAATTTGTCATTGACAGTGGCCACCCCCAGTTACGACCCACTGCGGGAAAGAAGAAAAAAACTGCAATGCAGACAGAATGGATTGGACCGTTTGAAAAATTTTAAATGTCAACTGTCAAATTTCCCACTGTTCAATTTGATTGCGATGGAACAGGGTTACAGTTCAGCAGGCAATGTCTGATGGGATATATTCATCATTATTGGGTAATTGCAAGGAGCTCCCGTGTGCTCAGGCAGAGAAAGCGAGGGACTGAAAGAGAGAGATGGGTTGAGAGGTAGGAGAAGGGTGGAGAGCGTAAGATGGAGATGAGGCAAAATAAAGAGGTATAGACTAAAAACCATTAGAGGGGATTTGTGAAAATGTGACATTAGGAAAGGTGTGCTATGTTATTAAAGCGTCACAGTGACAGAGTGCTAAACATGGGTTCAGATGTTCCCTTACTGTGTCGTCACACCAATAAATGAGCAGTGGGTGATGGAGGTATGAGCGATTCCTGATGCAAAAGAAAAAGCATGCGAAAAGCTTTTACTGTAGTAAAATGCAATTCGACTCCTCTCAAGCAATTTCAACAGGAAACACTAATTAAGTAATAATTTAAAACACTAAATGCATACTTTGTTGCTTTACTTTATAAGTTCAAGTAAATTATATTTTATATTGCAATTTGCAAGTCCATTGCAAGATATTAATTTTTCACAATGCTGACCATTTAAATGAATTTGAACATTGAACGTCTGAATTAACCTTTAAAAGCGTTTTAGCCAAAATATCTCTTTATGGATGATACTGACGATTGGTTGGTTCACAACTCTGGTCCAGACTGAAATATGTCGACAATTGGATGGATGGCTATGATCTGCATGGTATCCAGAGGATGCAGCCTACTGGTTTTTCCTCTAGCAACACTATGAGGTTGACATTTTTGGTTTTTACTAGAATATCTTGGTGACTATTGGATGGAATCCTGTAAAATTGCTGTAGATATTCAAGGTCCCTAAAGGATAATTTCAATTACTTTTGTGATCCTCTGACTTTTTCTCTGAAGCCACCAGCAGGTCCGAGTCTTATTCGGGGAAACAACATGTACTTGATGGGATTGGCTCACAATTTTGTTGTTTTTATAGCTTAAGACTGGAGTCCTTCTTTCGGCAGTGATAGTGACTATTGCTGATCATACAAAGAAAAGAGCACCATCTCAATTAACAGAAATACCAAAGGAATTAACATTTGTTGCCACAAATGGTGCCAAGTATATAATAAAAGAAGAAGGTGACCACTAAATGAACATTTCTTCAACAAATCCAGTTCAAATGAGCTTGGAGATTATCTGAAAAAATTTCAGGTTTCAAAGACTAAACTAGTGTTAGAATTTTTTTTATAGATTGACTTCCAGTGAAAAACAATAATATGTCAACACAATCTCTTTCATACCTCAGTGAACACAGTGTAATTGGAAACCGCACATTTACAAATGATGTAGTCACTACACTGCTAAAACAAATCCCAAAGCAAGCCATTAACAGGTAATACGCAATTAGTTACCATGTGAACGTTCAGCTCCAGTGGGAGTGATTAGTCCAACACAAGATGTTCTATGGCGAAAGAAAGCATGTGACCCATCTGTGGGCAGACAAGAGGGGAGGGGAAGGGGGGTTTAGCAGGTGTATTAACCCAGGAGGGAGCTCCAGGTAGGCAGGCAGGCATTTGACACCCGTCTAACCACACGAGACCTCGGATGCTGACAGCCGGTGCTGCACGCTGCATGAAAAGTCACCGTTTCACACAGAGAAGATGGACTGCAGGTGATGCAGCTGCTATTTTTAACCCGAGGCCTCCCTCCAGGACTGAGTGCACTGTTTGAATTGTTGTTCTCACCCTCCTCTCTCCCTCCTCCCTGACGTTCTGCATGCAAAAGTCTCCTTCCATCCAGAGTTTTATTCCAAAATGAGGTATTCACCATTTAAAAAGAGCTGACACCTGCTCTGTGCAAAACGTTTGACAGCACAAAATTAAATCACAGTCTAGTGCTTGTGATGTGCCCTTGATTTTGAAAGTCTCCCAGAATTACTGAATTTTTTTTTTTGTATTGATAGGTTGTCTGGTTTTTAATTTTTTTCTCCAAAAGGATTTATGTTGTCATGACAAAAGGGGTTGAACTTACACCTGCAGACTTCTCAGTACAGTATTGTTAAAACACGTTGTATGTGGTTTATAGTGCAAGTATAATACAAAAAGAAAAGACAACCATGCTGTCTGTATCTCTCTCTCTTTTTGTTTTGTTCCCTGAAGATGTGCCTGGAGCAAAACCAGGCTGGTTGGTTGTGCTATATGTCACAACCACCAACAGGGGATACATCCACCTTTTTTGACAGTGTCACCAGGCTTCTGCCTTGTGCCTTTAAATGTTATGACGCTGCGGAAAACGAGAGCCTGCTCTCAGCTCGTGGTAATGAATGTTTCACAGAGCGTGTGAAGTTTGTACTTAACAAGTCAGTCGGCCCAGTTTCTGCTCTGCTGTGTGCTGCGACAGCGATATACGCATGGCGACGGGTGTCAGTGACAATAGAGTAGAACTGTGGTGACTATGTTTTGAGTTTTTTTTGTTGTTATTTTTTTGGGGTGTTGGATGATATAAATGAGGGGTCATCTGATATGCTGTGAAGTCTAACAGAAAGTCTTAGGCCAGGATGTAAAGTGATTTTCAAACTGCATGATTCTGATTCATGTGGGAAAATCCAAGAGTGCTTTAACTCAGTTAAAACAGTCTGTTCAAACAGTATAATAACATGCAAAGTAAAATATAGGCATTTTTTTGATAGGGAAGAACAGGTGAGTCTCATCAAGCAAACACTGTAAGAAAATATAAAGAAGCTTATCGTTCTCTCAGGTTCCCTGTTAATACGGTAGGACAGGCTTGTGTCTTTTGTCTACAGAAGCTCTGGCAGCTTGAGCAAACTTTGAGGGGGTACTACTCCAACTTTACATGTCAAAGTGAATTTACTAGTCACAGGTAGTAGTAGCCTGTGAAAACAGCTGTTTAATGTCTTCAGTAGCTCTGGAAGGAGCTTTGTCGAGTCTGAGAAAATTACTGGAGCTATCTCAGCTTGGGCTTGGAGACTACAAATTTTCAATAAAGAGCCTGTGTGACAAGCTGAGGGCTTAAAGTTAGGAAACTTGGTGTTTACTGGCCAGGGAGGGTGAAAAAGGCTATTGAATGGCATTATGGGAAGTGTAGAATCCAGTGTTTTTGGATGTTGACCCATCTGGACTAAATGTCTCCACATAGATTTTTTCCATTTCTTTTACTTATGCGCTGTTGAAGGTCAGATAGAGCGAAAGCTTGCTAAATATTTTGAATAGTTACTTTTTAACATCTTTTTAACATTTATTTTCAGTGTTTTAAACATTAAAGGAATTGTGTGTTATTTTTTTATTTACTGTCTTGCCAAGTGTAAGATTGACTTTATATGCTACATATGAAGCTCGAGCCAGCAGCTGGTTATCTTAGCTTAACTTAGCATTAAGAGTGGGAAGGGGACCTCTGTCTAGAGGTTACACAAATTCAGAGTTATGCTCTGAAATATTTATTGGTCAGTTGCAAGAGAGCGAATAAGCATTTTCCCCCAAAAAATATTCTGTTAAATTGTTGTTTTTGCTGCTAATTTCCAAAATGTTGTTCACAGGCGATACATGCAATTGCTCAATTTGCCCTCCAATGGGGGGCATGGCAAAACAAATCACTGTGATAAAGCATTAGGAACACTCGCACGCACACACACAGGCAGGCACATGTAAGTGTGGTCAGAGTGAGTCTTTACTTGAACTGGGAAGCTGAAAGCACAGCCTTTAATACACACACCAGCATGCACGCATGCATCTTTTATCCTCCCACACATCAGGTGTCCGTGTAAAGCCAAAGCTCTTGCAGAGTGCACACACACGGCCATCTCACACAAACACACACACCTACTGTATATACACGCAGACTCTGTAGCACACTGAGGAAAAGGGTGTGCGGGGCTTCTTCCCCTTGTCAACAGGATGAGAAGCAGGGAGATGGAAGCTGGGGCATTAGTCTCCTCAGGGCTAGCTCTGGGATTTCCTCCAGAGGACAGAATAGGAAAAATACAACACCATATAAATAGATTCTCCTAGCTCAAAATACTGATATGGCCTCAGCGGGGAGGGCTGAGGGGGGAGGTGATGGGGTGGCAAGATGAGATTTGCATTGAATTTCCTGCTTTCTTTGCTCCCCATGTGTTTTCTTTCATCCATGTGGATCTTTGTCTCACTTAAGTGTTTTATTGTATTTTTATCCCGCCTCCCACAGGGCAACAATAACATTAACAAATCTTCTTGATACAGTCTTATTTGTTGATAAGGGGTTCTTTCTGTATTATAGATTTGATGCCTGGGTCTGTGAATAGCACCTTATTTGTGTATGTTTTATGACTGTAATTTTAGAAATTTAGGCTATGTGTGAATGTGTGTTTGCATGTGAGTGAACGCATGGGTACCCTCGTGTATTGCGAGCATTTGTCCAGCAGGCTGGCTGGCTGAAAGGCTGAAACTCATTGTCCTCTCTCCCCGACTGGGGTGCCTGCAGGTCGGAATGGAGCCAGTCAGTCTGCCCACCGTACAAACTACAGCTGGAAGAGTGTCTGTCTGCTGAGCAGGTGCCCACCCCAGAGCTCATCCAGGGCTACGTCAAGAAGGTAGGGTTGCTTTACAAATGCCAAGTCGAAGGTTTTGTCAGTTTGTGACCAGCTGGAAGGAGGGATGCAGGGAGGAAGAGATAGGGAGAGGAGAATGCAGAGAAATAGTGGTGGTCTTTAGATACTAAGTCAGAGATCCAAAGCAGACGTAGACCACGTGAAGACATTTTCCTAATACAAAAAAAAATTAAACTCAGTCTGCTACCAAATTCTTACTTTGTTCAGCATGTCACAGAGCACAATGTTTGTATGTTTACAACTGTATTTTTGTGAATCAGCCACATGGCTTAACCTGCTTGCAAGCACACTGCTGTCAAGCTGAAAGATTTCAACTTCAGCTTGTCACTGAATGCTTGAACCACAGGTGGCAATGTAGCACGCCATGTTTGAGGAGTAATTGCTACTTTAAAAAATAACAAAGAAAGCATGGGATGGTGCTGAAGTGTGTGTATTTCAGGTGCTGTCAGGTATGAATTAGTGGTTACTTTACAACTTTTTCTTACCACTACTCTAATGTGAGCAATGTTAAAAGGCTTCTACTACTACACACAAGAAATGTGCTTGTTGTAGAATATTATTAACTTCAGCATCTGACAGTTTTCCGCTTAAGCCAAAGCCAGAGTGTCAACATAGCCGTCTAAAAACTTTGATAAATAGTTTTGTTATGAATTACATGGAGTCAAATTTAGGCAGGGCAGCAGGAAGTGAGATGCTGTAATCCTCTTGGTTATTGGGATCAATAATCAATAACAGTAGTTATAGTATAAAAAAAGTATCAACATGTCTTGACAGGCCTCCACCCAATCTGAAAAAAACGTACTTATGGGCACAACCTACCCGAAACCGAAGAAAAGACCTGATCAAAAGAAGACCCACAGACTGTGGAGAAAGAAGTAGAAAAGTATTAAAAGACGTAAGGCCTTAAGATCCAACTACAAGGAGAACAGTAACACTGACAATAGGATGATGCACCACCAATTAACGAGCAGCAGCGGTCAAAAAGAGCAGCGATACATATAATTTTTACTGGCATTACAGAATATACTCTCTCCATCTCACCTCAAAAGAACATATTTCTCCTGCTCTAATTATAATGCACTGTAAGCTGATAGCAGGTCTGTTCAGATGCAAGTTTTAAACAAATTTACACACAGACTCTCTGCAATACAACAGGATCCTAACAGATACAATTTGAGCAAATGTATTTTAGACCTGGGCCGACCCAGGTAAGGTGTCGAACCTGTGAAGACCTGTGATTTTTGATTAAAATGAAAATAGCAATTCAGCAGTATAAAAAAATACTCCAAAACAAGAAAAAGTAAAGACATATTAGCAGCAAAAAATTATAATAGTAAAATACTCATTACAGAGAATAGCCCATTTGTTATTAACATTGTGTTAGCATTAAAACAGTATTTTTATGTTGTAACTGGTCCAGGCAGAACTAAACTCCATACCTATAGTTATAGGTATGGAGTAATCTTTATCATGCATTATATTTTACAAGTTTACCATATGTTTTGCAAGTAAAATATTCAATTTCACAGTAATTAACAGCTGTCATAAAAATGTAGTGGAGTAAAAAGTACAATATTTCCCTCTGAAATGTTGTGGAAAAGAGGTATAATGTTGCACAAAATTAAGAATACCTAAAAATTTTACTTAAATCTACTAAAAGGAGTTTTTAACTGGTTATGAAACAGTCTCAATTTAGTACTGATGCCTCTATATGAACTACATAAACAAACACAACCATCAGCAAGAAGATGGGCTATTTTTACAGTTTTTTTCAATGCCTGTCACTAGGTTGGATGCGCTCAGATTTCCCATGTAATCAGAGCAAGAGGAGCCAGAATCAACACAACATGAATATTCCTTATAGCTGCTTTACGCAGCCATGTGTAGGATTTGGTGGCATATACCAGTGTAGTTGCAGATTCCAACTCTGTCCCTTTGAAGCGCAAAGGAGAAACTACAGTGGCTGTATAATGCATCAAAAATGCTAGAGTTAGTGTTTGGTTTGTCTATTCTGGGCTACTGTAGAAACATGGCAGTTTGTAGCTTCTGTCAATTTGAACAGCTCATTCTAAGGTAACAAAAACATATAGATTTTTATTTTCAGGTGATTATACATTAATGAAAACATAGTTATGAATATTATATTCCATTTCTGCCAATAAATCCTCTTAAATGTTACACACCGGACCTTTCTTTTGTGCACTACTTTTTCCACTTCATGTACTGGAACCGTATAACATTTGCTATCACTGTAAATTTGAACATTATTCTTTTTTTAAAATTATGTCATTGTTTAAAAACCAAAATCATGGTCTCTGTCTTTCCAAATCCATATTTTCTATGTCTGTCCAGGCGACATGACAGGATTAAAGGATTTATTTCTGGGTTCATATAGAGTTAAAGATTTGTTGGAGTTGGCATTGTAAATAATACACATAATGTGTTGAATGCAGTGCTTCCCAAGTGCTGAACTGAATACACCAAAAACGTGTTTCCTCAGTAATTCCTAAGCTAAAGTTAATTACAAACCAGCTGAACATTTCGTATTTTCCATAGGAGAGATGAAAGCACTGACAGGAGCCAGAAAGCTGAAATCACCTTGCCTGATCTGATAATGATGGCTCTGTTAGTGGTGTCACATGTTATTAACACTGCCGTGAGAAAGCCTGTTTGAAATGGCATTCAATAATATCAGTAACTGAGACACGCCCTCGCCCGTCTGTGGACTGTATGCTGCGATCATCAATCGTAATTGCAACCCCCCTGCTAGGATCGATATTACGGCCGAAATTGATGTAGGCCTTTGAACACACTCACTCCTGAACTTTCTTGTACATTTTTGCCCTTTAGGATTCCAGTCATACAAGCCGCAGTCCTGAGGACCTCATTACTGTTGGTTAGTCATTTTTAACACGAGCTGCTACAGAACTGCTGGAGGAACGGAGGGAGGAGGAGGAGAGAGGGAGGAGGAGGAGGAGGAGGCCCATGCTAAAATCTATTAAAAGGCGGGGGAAGTGAGCAAATGGATGAGTGTAGAGATAGTGGAGAAGTCTCATCCCTGTCAGTCTCTCATCTTTGGAATTTCCTGTTTCCCTCTCTCTCTTTCAATCTTCTTTCTTTCTCTCATTTCGTGTCCTTTCTCTTTCTCCTCTTCCTGGTCTCCAATCTCCTGGCCGGGTCATCCCTCATGCCTTTCTTGTGCTGCTAGCTCTCCCTCACATGTCTCTCTGCCCTCACTCCAGGGGCGTGCGCATCGTCTCCTCCCGGTTTTCAATCTTGACCTCAGGACACCTCCTCCTGGTGCAACTGTAATAACTTACGCGGGAAATAGGAAATGTGTCTCAAGTCAAAAATTGAATTTTTCACTCAGGCGTGATTATTCTGGTGCAGAATAAGGGAACCTGCTCCAAGAAATTTTCATCAAGGGTTGTGTGCGTTGGCGAGGCATGTTCATTAATGAACAACAAAGAAGGTGAAGCAAAGTTGCTTTTTGGACCTCGGGAGAAGCCTAAGTTTTCCTGACCTGAGGGGGTTCCTTCTGAGCAGAGCAGACCTTGCTCTGTTCATTGTACAATAAGAAGTTAGAAAAATGCTAATTTTTTCGCTCATGCTAGTTCTGATACTGAACTGATAGAACCGTTGTATTACAGTTTATCCCAAGCTGCTGCGGTGATGACCTCTGAAGGGCGTGTAACAACAATTATTCTCATATTCAATGCCCCTTTAGACTCCAGTTTTCGTGCGTCTGTTTCCCGTACCCGTAACGTTTCAGGGCTTCATCTCTTCCAACTTTAATGAAGCGTATGAGGGTTACACTGAGGGAAATACTCCGAACCAAAGACCGATGGTGTTTTTTATGGCTCATCATTACATCAAATGGACACTAGTTTCTGTATTGTTTGTTCTTTCAACCACCAGCAGCATCACAGCTCTAGAATGCAATTAGGAGGTTCATTTGGTGTTTTGTTGTTCCGAGACCACACGTGTAAGACCTAATTGTAAAACGTCACCGAGTGCATTGGTTTGAGGTGTACCATTTTGAAGCCTCGGGTTTGGCATTATGGTCTGTTTTTTTCTGGAGCCAGCCGCCGTGATGTACTGCGAGTTGAACTGGTCTCATTGGCTGTGCAGTTTTGACTCATCCATAGTATCTCATCTCATATTACATATATAACAGTACACTACAATATGTTTCTGAAAAGATTTTAAGCAACCAATGGGCAATGCAGAATCAGCACTGCCTGGTTTGACTGTTTGATGAGTTTTGTGCATTGTGCTGGGCAGATTACTGAGCTAATAAATCCACACAATCAAGGTAAAAGTAGGGTCATTTCTCCATACTACTCCATACTATCTACCTTTTTTGCCCCCCGCTGCCCCCATTACATAGAATGTATCACACAGACCGGAAGCTCTGTCCACAATATTTACTGACTATGGTCCAGACTGAAATTCACTCAAATTTAAGAAGCTGGAATAAGAATTTTTGCTTATTTTATTACGACTAATCAATTATATCAATTGCTGTCCATTAATTTTCATTTGTTCATCTACTAAATTAATCAATTAATCATTTCAGCACTAGACTCTTTTATTTGTCCCGCTACTTATTGACATTGAATTCTTCTGGGAAAATCATCAATTCATTTCACTTTGCACATATTTATTACCATTTTTTTACTCAAACACACTTATTGCACAGTATATTTGTGTTTTATCTGCATTCTTTGTTACGATGATGGACCATTGGCAAGATGTTTCTGGAAAAAGAAATCAAATCTGAATGGTTCACTTTGTCAAACAAGGGATTTGATCAAATTATAATGATAATAATAATGGTACTAAAAATAAATTTGATTATTACAGCCCACTATTCGAATGTACTTTTCTATCAACTGCACCAACATTAGACAGTCAAAGCCATTCATCTCTCTCTCTCTCTTTGACTGCCCGCATTACCATTAAATGAGATACAACAGTTTCTCCCTTTTATCTCAGCAATTCCATTTCAACATATTGGTATGAGGAATATGATGTGGAAGCACCCAGAGAGCGTTCACTGATATTAAACAATATGGCTGGAAACAATGTGACTGTTTTCCAATTTAATTTCATAGTGAATAACCTGCGCATTTGATTTGATTTTTATTCTCTTCCCTCACTCTGGCTCGGGATAGACAGGCACTGCCTTGGCTTGGGGGGTGGGGGTGGTTGGTGGAGGAGGGCAGAAATGGAGAACGGCATCATTAACATTCTCTGACAGTTAACGTTTCAATCTCGCTCTGTGGCAGAAACCCAATATTGACATAAAATGCCAGATGACAAAAAGACAGAGAAAAAAAGTGGAGCGCTGGATTTGGGATGCGGCCTGGGCCTGACTGGGGTTGTGGCCGCTCCAATCTAATCAACAGCTGTGTGATTGGAGAAGCTGCTGGGAAGGAACGAAAAGAAACAGAGGGGGTAGAAAAAAACAAAGATCCAACAGATGCAGGGGACTTCATGAAGAGTATTGTGGGGAAAACAATTCCATTTCAAGATAATTGATGTCTGAAAGTTTGGTTTCAGTTTGAGATCTCTTGGGAAATAACTTTGTGTATATGTTCTGCTTCATAGGTTGTTCTTATTTTGCATCCTGAATTAGCATTTTTTGGCATTTTGCTGATGCTTTAAACGCAAAAACAGGAGCTCCACATCCACGACCTCCAACAATATAATCCAGTCTAAGGCTGCAACTAATGATTATTTAATCAATTAATCCTTTAGTCTGTAAATTGTAGAAAAGATAATGAAAAATGCCCATCTCTAGTTCTAAGAGCACAAGTTGACTTCGGCAAATAGCTTGTTTTGATACAGTCTAGAGCCAAAGATAATCAATTTACTATCATATATGACAAAGAAAAGCAGCAAATTCTCACATTTATGAAGCCGGGAGCAGACAAGTTTTGGCATATTTGCTTAAAAAATGAATGACTGAAACAATTAATTGATTATCAAAATAGTTGACCATTAAATTTCTGTCAATCAACATATCATTTAAGCTCTAATCAGTGAATGCAAAGTAGTATTAGTGGCATCATCTGTATGTGTAGCATCATTATCATTCTAACTGCTAATTCTTGTTCATGCTCTCTAACAGCAGATCCAGGATGCTGCTGACCAAGGGGTGATGTTTGTGGGATTTGTCCAGGAACCCTATGGGGCCCCATGCACCAGGATCAGAGAACCAGACACCCCCTCCATTTCCCTGCACTCCAGTCCCAGCTCTGTGCTCGGTTCCCTGGGCAGCTGCAGCCCCTCGAACCCCTCAAGCCCCAGAAACCATGCAGAACCTGGAGCTCAAGCTGAAGCAGTGGACAAAGAGGGGAACGAGGAAGCCTCCTGTAAGTCTGGGGAAGGAGCACCAAGTGGGGAGAAGAATCAAAGTGAGAACACTGGGAACCATTCAGGGGGCGGGGTGGAGGGCAGTCTGGATGAGGTCTCGCCTGCGGCGTCTCCAATATCAGAGGGAGATCTGGAGCACACGGAGGAACTGACGGTGGAGGACTCGCCGTGTCACAATAACAATAAAGACAGTGGCAGAGACACAAAGGAAAGGCAGAGATACCGCCTGCGGAGGGGTGATGGTGAGTGGTTTCTATGATTGCCATAATAAACTAAAAGGAAAATGATGTGTTAAGCAAATAACATGTAAATTAGGACTGTAAAGCACTCTCATGCTGTGAAAAATGAATGAATCTGGGGGGAAAAGCGGGGGGACAAAGTCAACACAACAATAGGTTAAATGTTGACAAATTTTTTTGTAACTAGGTTTTGATTGGACAATTCCTCTTCTGGCTAATGGACAAAACACACAACAGAGGATCTAGAGGGGTAAAAAACTGCCTGGCTACCCCCGCTATGGGCTTTTCCAAGTAAATATTGATATATGTGATTGTTTGCGATTAAATCAGCATATATTTCTGCCACCCCATGAATATTTCTCTAGATCCGCCCCTGAAAACATGGAGACATTTTACGTTACACAGAATACAATTAAAGAAATAAAGGTACGAAATATGAAAAGACAGACACACTGTATCTCAAAACATGGGTGTGTAAAACAAGTATTTGCAAGGCTGCATATCATTGGAGGTGAGAGAGTAAATACGTTATTTCGTTATTTGGCTGAACAGACCCTTTAAAGGAAAATACACTAATTGGCCAAATGGGGGCCCTATAATTAAAGGTCAAAATTTCAAAACTTTACCAAGCTTTAAAACTTGACAAGACTCTTAAGTCCAAATGACACGGGACCTGCCACACAGCTATATTTACAAATTGCACAGAAAGGCCTAATGAGGGATGATAATTAAGATAATTAAAGGTCAAAACTTCAAACTGAAAGTCCGCAACTGCTGAACCGCCACAGGCCCAATGCTGATGAAACTAGTTTCTGCATCACTTACGGACATTGGGTGAATGTTGTCCTCCCATTTATCAACCCCAAAATGACTTGTTTTTGAGCTGCGTGTTTATGCACATTCATACCTGTGAGCTCCCTGATCAAACCACAGTCGACTGCTGGTCCCAAAGCAAAAACAGTCGGGGGTTAAATGATGCACCGAAGGGCATTCACTGTCTACTGTAGCTTCTTGTCTCACATATTCACAGTGATAGATTTAAAATGACAGCTTCTAATCTTTAGCCAATATCGTTCTGCATATCTGTGTAACTTGTGTTTTGGTTTCATTTGAAGCCATACCTTTTGGCTGTTTAACTAAAGAACAGCGTGGTGCCGTAGATCCCTCTTGAAACACTTGGCAACTGCGGAGGTGTCATTTCCTGCTATTGCCTCAATGTTACACAACAATGTGCTGCCTTGGGATATAATCCTCTCTATCTGTTACACAAAAAGAATCGTCTTATAGCTGTGGTGCATTAAAATTCACACTCACACTTAGGCGATGAAGCAGGAGTCTGTGAAATTCGCAGTTTGGTTGGGTTTTTGGGAAAATGCACATTTCATAGCTCGCTTTCTGTCTTTCCAGAAAGTGAGCCATACCTACACCTCTTTTACTTATTCATGGTACCCCCCTTTTCTGTGGGAATGGTGTTGAAATTAGCACAGACATTTATAGTTTTGGCTTTATTTGAGCATTTTGAATTGACAGATGGAGACACCCACCACTCTCACCCCCCACCCACACGCTCTCCTCCTCTCACAGAACCTATTTGTGATATGTGTCAGTGCAATGTGCAAACTGTGCATTAGATACACTCCCAGTGGGAGTGTTAACGTGTGTGTGTTTGTGCGTATACTGTATATTTGTATGTATAGTGTGCAATACGAATTAGGTTCAAAGCACCTTATACTAGGTGTTGCATAATGAATGTACTCTGTGCACATACTTTATGCTTTTGTTTGTGTGTATCTTTGTCTTTATATGTGTGTGATAACACACACTTGGCATCACGGTAGACCACAGCCCACTGGTCCATCTGGGCCTCCCTACAGTGCATTTTGCAGCAAGATAATCCCCCACTGCCTTGTCCTCTACCTCCCTCAGCTTCACAGCTCTCTCTCTATACCCCCACCTTCATCCCCCTGAATCTCTGCGACAAAGCCAGCAGCGCCAGTGTAGCAGCCAGCCGGGGTGGTAGGGGAGCCTGCCAAGCTCCCATGTCCCTCTCTACTAATGCCCAGTCTGACGAGGAGACCCAAGAGTCTCGGGTACTGCTGGCTTGTCCTCGCTAATCCTCAGATCTTGAGGTGAACACAGTGCAAGTGTTGGCAGTGGAGCTGGTGAAAGTCTGTGGCTTACGGTCGAAAAGAGGATCTCCATCCCTGAGACTGGAGCTCTGGATAGAAACTGAGCCCATAAGTTTGGAGATTCAAAGGCTTGGATGGTTTGAAGGAAAGGGATTCTGGTGGAAGAGCAAAAAGTATAACATGATAGTGACAGCTGTACGATTATGTATGGATAAGACAACACAGTGTCCTAAGGATTAATTTCAGATGCAACTGATTTACATGAGCAAAAATGTTTTGTAGGAAATTAAATGGATCGTTTATTTATGAACATACTGAGGAAACATTTATACCATATTTTTCCTCTTTTCCTACACTATCTGTGGCTGGCACATTACATGTTTATATTTAGGCAACTCAAAGTACTTGGCTGATAAAATATTGATAAAGTCAACGCTGATTCAAGGCAAATGACGGGACATGTTTACTTTTTCAATATTTAAGGAAAAAACCTTGTCTTTCTATAACCTTGAGCAAACCACCCAACTACACATTCCTGTGATTTGCTCAGAAAAAAAGAGAATATTGAGTTTCATGTCAGGATATAACTTTATCAAAGCTACAAACACATATAATGAGCTTCGAACAAACAACTTAAAATTGTGAAGAGCTTTAGCACAGGTGTAATCCTGAGGAATATCAGTCTAAAATCTTAAGCATCTTAGTCAATGTGCAGAAGGAGTATTTTCAGCTGCTTGGTTTTATCCTTGAGATCAGTGTTATCTCTGCTCTGATGGGATCAGTGTCCATCTTCTGAGATTATAGAAACAGACATTGAAATGATGACATGTCATGTTGGAAAGCTACGCTGCTAAGATCATGGCAGGGTTGATGCCGCCAACCTCGTCATTTGGACAGCCGGGCTGTCATCAGATAAGCCTTTGAAGCAACATGTTTTTAACATCCTAACGACACTCATGCGCTCATTTTCTTGTTAGCCAGGCTGCCGGCGACAACAAGAGTCAGGTTAGCTACACAGACTTTATTCTGAAAGGCTTAGGGGTCGTCTGCTAATGTAATGAATTTGTGCGATTAGGTTTAAAGGACTTAGTCATACTCTTCAGTGTGTGTGTGTGTGTGTCTGTATGTGTGTGTCTGACACAAGGATACGCAAGTACATCCATAAATATCAAATTACTGGGGCATTAAGTAAGATTTTTACTGCCCTATAGCTCAAAAAGGACCATAATAATTCTCTGAAACATTAATAAAGTTATTGATCACGACCAATTACTTTGCCATATGGTGACATCTCTGGCTTTCAAACCTTGTTCTTGTTATACAGCCAAAAAGCAAATGACTGCAGTGTTATTACCACTGTTTCTTGGCTCTCCAGCAGATCTCTGATCGGAAAAGTTTCTGTTACACAGTAATGTTTGTGTCATTTACTAGCCACTGTAGCACAAGGGGAGTGGTGAGCTTGGCAAGAGATTTGTTTTGTTGGTCACTAATTAGAGTTTCTTGAAGGTCAAAGATCACTTAACCTCGTGTTCTTCCAAACAATAAAGTATCTGCTCTTCTGCAGTTTCTCACAAAAACTATAAAATGTTCTCATATCTCAAGCTTATCTTAGTGAACATGTGAACTGGTGGGACAATGGTTTGAGTAGTGGCTGGTAAAATCGCGCAGGGGGAAAGGGATGCAATGTGTTTATCATCTGTCACTATAATCATGTCATTTTTAATATCCTTTTAATTCATGTTTTTATTATTAGTTTTTTCAGATAAGTAACGTTGAGACGTTTGTAATCATTTACAGCCTGCCATGCTGTTATTCTGCATTGCTCTGTATACAATAATTTAGCTAACATTGTAAATAAATGTAAAAGGCTGTAATTTGACAGAAAAAATGTGAGTTGAGTCGGGTGACTGATTATTTAAATCATTGACATTTCAGGGGGAGCCCTACAGATTTTTATCAAAATGACTTTCTGAAGTGCTCATGAATGCCATATGGAAGCACAGCTCCAGTCTGACTTACTATTGTCCTGCAGTCCAGAGTGACGGACAGATGCGAGACAGATGTTTTTATGCCTACATATAAATATCAGGAGATAGTCCTCTTATCTGTCCGTGGCCACCAACTCCCTCTTTGCCGAAGGGAAGTGTCCCTTAGGCAAGCCACTTAATCCCTCTGATGCTCCAGTATATCTCCTGTGAACAGAGCACTGCTGAAAAGATGTTTACAACCCAGAAAGTCTTTCCTGACCACATAAAGGTTAGAAAATGAGCTACCTACTCCTCCGCTTCAATTAGAGGCGCCTTGGTGCCATAATCATAGTGTAATTAGAATGTAAGGACGTATAATGCATGGAAAACTCTCAGCTATTATACATAAAAGATTTAATATTGTGAGAAAGAGGCCAGACTGCATGTTTCTTACTAGTGGCCGTTATTTTGTGGCAAGCTGTTTTAAATGCAACAAATAACAGTCCCATCAGTAGCAAAGGAATCACGGTTTAATGGCGTTACTTATCTAATTACAGTGTGATTACAGAAAATAAGAGCTGTGACCTAAAGCCTTACCACATTTCTAAATTAGTTAGTATACATGACACAATTTTTCAAAAGCAGTCTTATTCATGACCTGCTCAAAGCTCACTCACATAGAGAAAGCATCCATGGGACAAACTGTAGTGATACATTATCTCAGGCTTGTGCACATAAACTGTAAATCAGTTTTTTATGATACAGATCTCCACAAAGTCATTCGCAGTAAGGAAACATGTTGTTTTGGCAAGTCGGAGACATGTTGAATGGGAAGTCATTTTGTTGCTGCGTGTTGTCCAAGATTTGTTTGCCATATTGTCGTCGTTGTAACATGGGTAACATGGGGAGGATGAGGGGAGGGTGTGTGAATATTCTGCTGTGATTCAACTATTCTCAAGAGTGACAAATGACAAGATTTAGGGAATTTGGTGGCCAGCTGTCACATCAGTCAGACGAGCCAGACAAGAAATGGTTATAAATGATTCATTCTTCCTGGGTGTCTGCTGGACGGATGGACGGACGGAGGAACCAAGGCGACTGAGCCATGACTCCCCCACCACTACCAGCACCACCACCGCCACCACCACCCCGTGTCCTACTGCATGTGTGTGTGTGGGTTGGGGTTGGTGTGTGTGGGTTGGTGTGTGTGGGTTGGTGTGTGTGGGTTGGGGTGGGTGGGTGGCAGTGCCGCACATTCTGCTCATCCATCTGGTTCACTTGGGGAATGACAGTCCGACATTTGCATTGGAAAGAAAGGGGAAAATGTTACCAGACCCGATTTGAATAGCTTCCTGCCTGATTCGAACCCCGCTCACATCTCACGTTTTTGTGTTTTTTCAGAGCTAAGCGAAGCAAACATTTCACTCACTCACATCACAACAAATAAAACTCTTTCCACTTTGATTTAGTATGATATGAGTGAGGAGTAGTGACATACGTACTGTGGGCACATTTCCAAGCCTGTTTCTCCCTCCTGAGGCCCACTGCATTATGTATATTTGTGCTTGATATAAACAACAGCTAGCTGGAGAGCTTTTAATGCATTATTCAAGGTTATACCATGAATTAACTCAGTTACAATGAAATGGTCCCTTTTAAGTTCTGCATCAGCAGAGTAACATCACTTCTAGAAAACATTAAAAGGAATATGAGGATGACTTGTAGCATGAATATGATCAAATTGCTTTTGATTCACTTCACGTTTGTTGTTGAAAAAGAACCAACTGGAAAAAGAGGCAGCATCCTTGGAAATTATTTTCAGCGTATTTGTGAGTCCAGCTTGGGGCGACGCAAATCTCATCTTGTATTACTCTTACATTTCTCATCTATTTTGAACCTGCCAGGTGGAACTTTTGTTCATGATATGATAATGATATTGAAGTTTTTATTATACTGCCTTGCATACAGATTTGTTCTTCCCACTTACAAGACACCAGAAATTAATGTAAAACAGATTCAGAATGCAGCACATAGGCAAAAGGTCCTAAAATAGTTTAACATACATAAAAACAAAAACAAAATTCAACCACACAATCACACAACTGGCAAGACAAGGTCAAATTCGTTGGAAGTTCTCAGCTACTTTTTTGTATTTTTGCTTTGAATGTGTTCAATTTTACTGCACTAATTTCCTTGTCAATGCCAAATTTTTAATATGGCAAATTTCTTGAGCACAGCATTTGGAATTATTTCCAAAGATTCATGCAAACCATCCACTGAGCTGGTTTTTAATCTCATCTCATCATACAGTACCAAATTTGTCAGGGAGAGAAAAATCAAACTAGTTGGAAAACGAGAAAGCATAAAAATTGTTATTTGCTGTTGACAGGAACACTGTGGCCAACATTTCTTGGCCAGGAATCTTGTGACTGTCCGCACATTGGCTGAGTTTCCTTGTTGCTTATCTCGTAGGAAATAAATGTACTTCCAATTGATTATCACAACGTTGCTCACAGTGTGATTAAGTGGTTAGTGTTAAAGTCCTGAAAGGTAGTGAGGAAGGGGTCATTTCCTGCATCCTATCACAATACTGCAGATAGTTGTTTGTATGGCAAGCATGTTTTAAACCAAAACTCTGCTGTCTCTCAGCCAACCGTTTACTGGGCAATTTCTAATAAGTTTTGACATCTGAAGGGAGGAAAAATGCTCCAACAGACGAAGCCAAATTACATTTTGGATTGTGGCCAATGTACAGCAGTAGTTCAATAATCACGCCGTAAAACGTAGAACGTCCACACAAGCTACATCTGTATTGTCACAACCCTTACTGAGTTAAATCAATGACTGAGTTTGGTTTTGTGTCGTGTGTCAACAGGGGCGGAACTGCTCGCTTTGTACAACCACCCACCAGTCCGAGAGGGCCAGGTGAAGTACTACACTGTCAAGGTGCCACTGCGAGTTCAAAACTGTGATGAAGGGGTTAAAGGTGTTGAAGCCAACTGGCTGGATCACATGACCCAGCACTTCAACAATGGAGCCTCACTGGTCGATGGATACTTCCACCTGGGCAACGTGAACGGTAAGCAGGCATGAATTTCTGTTACCGCAGAACACCGAGGTTTCCAGGGAAATGGATGTGGGACGAAATGTCTCATAAGGAATAAAACAGTTTTTTAATATTCACACATGTTAAACACCCTGTTTTAGGTTACATCTCACACACAATCGTTTTCTTCCCTTAAATATTAAAACAGCCTTCACCTTGGTCTTGGTCTACATGTACTCTAAAAGCTCAGACTATTACAGTTATTAAAACTCCAAAAGATTCAGGAATAGCTTTTTTTTTTAAATCCCTCCACAGTATTATCACTAAAAATGTCAACATCAATCAGATGCCAAATTCACGTCAACCTCTATAAAATAAAAAGCCTGCAGCAGGTAATGAAGCACCTTGGCCTGTGTGTCATTAATTATGCATTAGCTGGCATTCATTTTCCACCAGAAAACAATCAGAACATATTTGAATAACAATTGACTCCTCTGTGTCAAGAAGTGGTGTAATACTGCAGGATTTGATACTGCAAACATACGCTGGATGACTGCAGAAGCTGCAGCAATCAGGGCTCAAACACTATTGGAAAGAATAGATTTGGTAGAGAAATTCATACTTGATGACCAAATATCTTTGTGTTTAGTGCTAACAATCAAATGTTAACATGCTAGCACACAGAATTAAGATGATGACCATAACAAATGGGAGCGTACCTATGTTCCCCGGCGTTTCTATGTTCCCCGTCTTGTGTTATGGGACCGGGGAACCCTAACCCTAACCTTAGCACAAACATACCTGACCCCGGGGAACATTTAGGACCCAGCGCGAACATAGGACCCCGCGGGAACATAGGGATGACCCCGAGGTTTTAAATGAAACTATCTGCGACACTGCAATGATGTTTAACAAATTACAGAGTCACTGGTTTTCACCAGTGTGTGTGGCAGACATAATGATTCCTTCTTTATGGAGAATTCTTTAGAAGACAGAGTTCGTAGAGCTGTTTGGTATCCTCTTTTTAAACTATTTCCTGTTTGGGTTTTCCTCTTCCATCAGACCCCGGCGGCTCTGTGCTTCGCTCTGAGACTGGAGAAATAAGCCAGCCAGAGTAAATAAGAGTCATAATTCATTAATCTGGGAAAGTGAACGCCTCAGCAACTCTGAAACATAGATAATTAACCTGATAACAAATTAGTGCCTCCTTGCATATTTTATGTCCTGAGAATGGAGTAATGAAGTGTATTATTATGATTCATTTTTTTTCTGCCTATTAGGGTCCTCTAACATATTTTGCATTTTTCATGCACTGCTAAGATATGCGTCTCTTGAACAGTTAAATTACTGGGTAGGATAGAAAGCAGATCAGCTGCATTATGAATCTCTGCCTACACTGACTTATAGGGCTGAATTCAGCTCACAGCTTAAGCTCAACCTCTTTAGAAAACCGACAACTTTACAGAGGTGAATGCTGTTACTTTGTGGATTTTGGTCTCTTGAGAGCAGCTGGCAGTATGACATCAAAGCGGCATCCCGTTTGTTGTTAGCAGCTAATTACATCAAACAGCCGTGCGGCTCGGGTTTAGAATCAGTATCCATTCCTGCCGTTTCCATATTTAGCAACTTCTTTGAGACAAGTTTCTGAATTCAAGATGAGACACTCGACACAATGCGGGAGACCAGCTCAACCTCATAAACATCAAGGACATGTTTGACAGCAAAACAGCATGTTAAAGGACATGGACTGACAGAGACAGAAGCATGCAGTTGGATGGGAGATGGTAGTGACAGTGACAGCCTTGTTTTTAGATACAGAGCAACCAGCTTTCATGTCCTGACAGATACACGTGCAGTCTAATGAGTGTAATTGTGTTTTTTTCTAAGACTGACCTTCTTATGCCCAATTTTTTTACACTTATCCTGTTGTACTAATACTGTTTTTACAGTATTTATTCCTCAGATAATAATAATAAAATGCTGAGCCTTTTTTATTATGGATGGTCTGTCAGTCCACCACTTTGGTCCAGACTGAAATATCTCAACAACTGCTGGATAGATTACCATGGAATTTGGTGTAGATATAAATGATGCCAAGAGGGTGAATCCTAAGGACGTTGGTGGTCCCCTGACTTTTACTCTAGTACGACAATGAGGTTCACATTTTCGGTTTTGATGGAAATGTCTCCACAGCCATTGGATGAAAAGCTATGAAATTTAGCATAGATATCCATGTTGCCCTCAAGAGAATTTGTAATCCCTTCACTTTTTTGTCTTGCACCATCATCAGGTTTTAACATTTTAATTAGTCCAATACTTTGGTTTATGACCAAATCTTTGCAAAACTCATTGATATCATTCCTGTCACCCCCAGCTCAGGTTTGTGTTTAGTGGGAATTAGCAAATGTTAGTATGCTAACACATTAAGATTGTTTAGCTTATTCTTGTTTATGTGTTGCTTTACATTTTTTATATCTGGAAGTTGGCAGGTATAGTTTCTGAGCGAATACTCAGCTAAAACAAGTATGCAGTACAGAAGAAGATACTTTTTACGAGTACGATGAGAGTAAAATGTGTCAATATCCATACTCGTAAATATAGAAACTTTCAATTTAAAAATATATATAGTTTTCTTACTCTTGATCAGGAAAATTGCACTGAAGCTCAAGTTTAAGTCCCAGCCATTCAGAGTACGATACAAATACAGTACATTAAGTTTGTGGAACAGATAGAGGCTACAGATACAATTAATGGTGTACTTGCTCATCCCTAATAGCTTTAAACTTCTACTACTAAAAGCCTCTGAAACTAATAGCCCAAATAGCCTAAAGGATGGGAGAGGATGCTGGTCCTTGTTTGAACCAGAGACTTTCAGATTAAAATCCTGCAAAATTTTAAGCAGTTGTAATGCTGTGTAATCTGAAACAGATTATTAAATCCAATTTGGCATCTCAAAAAATACAACAGATTTCCATAATTCATTCACCCAATATAGATATATTTCAGTGCCAATACTCTTGTGCTGTAAGTCAATAGTAGCCACTAAAAGTAAACCCTACATTAACAATCATTCATAATTGTGCTATTGTTATGCAAAGCCCACAATTCATTAACTGATTGAAATTAATCATCCATGCAGCTCTAACCTTCTGATGCCTAAAACATAATTTATAATTAACTTGAAAGAACTCAAAGAGCTGCATACCTTAATCATGGAGGGGTGAAGGGGTAATGGACAATATTGGTGTATCAGCATTGTGATATATCTATATGACCTTCATATAAAGTGGCTTATTGTCTTTAATTGTTTACTTTATTGTTTAATCGTTTTATTGTTTACTAATGTATGATTTTATTTCACTGATATGTATGCTCTTAACCTGCTTATATTTATACATTTATACAAAGATAAACCCTCCTTACTTGAGATTAATTAGCGCCGTTGAAATCTTTTAAAGACTTTTTGAACCTAAAATCCATTTTTATTTATTGCAAGAAGCATTCAACTAACTGTTACTTGACAATTAGATCTTCTTGAGAAAATATGTTACTCTGAAAACATAAGAGTTTGTTGTTTATATTGATTGTTGACCTAAAGTTCATAGATTGTCTGCATCACTGCTCATGTTCCTGTAATCTCTCTGCAACTCTGGCCTTTTCCTAATTACTGTTCTACCTTTCTATTGTCTCTGACAGTCGGTTGTTTGGCATGGTCCAGAGGGACACACACTTGCACACAAAAACACACAAAAACACACCGTATCCCCATGCTTCTTCTAAAGATGGGTTTCCATGGTGAAGCTGGATGAGAAAGCATTAGGGCGCATTGTTTGCATACTCACGTGTGTATATTTGTGTGTGTGTGTGACAGTGAAAGTCCTGTCTGGTGTGGCAGCACTGTTTGCAGTGAGTGGGGACCTTGCCTAAACCACAGAATGGAATATTACTATATATTGAATTGAATTTACAGATCCTAAGCTGCACGCAGGCCCCACTGTCATAAGACACACATTAAAGATTCATACAAACTGTGGCACTGTCTGCTAACATAAATAGGACTACATGCATCCACATATACCTACAAAGACACGCACATACACCCATTTACACTCACATACATACACACAAAATACACATAAATTCACACTACCTCCCTGGATTCAGGAGCAGGATGTGGGGTTGAGTTTGTTTACTGAAGAACTGACAGTAATGGTGTTGACAGGGAGTTTGCCTTTGTTACTTGTATAGCTTAAGCTATCTCCAGAGCCACAATGAGGATTTGTAGCCTGGTTGTGAGACATTGAGCTATTCATATGCATGACAGTCAGCCCTCACTGGTTTCTAAATTTGGGCAAAGCCAATGGTGGAAGAGACAGAGGGAGAGAGGAAGTGAGATTCAGGGAATATGAAATTCCAATAAGGTTTTCTTTTTTTCTTTACTGTGAAAAGAAATTCAGGGAAGAGAAATGATGTGCAAGCGTTTCTCTGAGACAAAAGTTGACGAGAGGTGGAATTAGAACTGCCATGTTTGTGCATGTGTGTGCATAGTTTTGTGCATAAACTGCATGAACACGTGTATCTTCTACGTGGTTGCCGTTATGTGTATATAGGTTTTGACAGCACAGCATGTGTCCTTTCCACCTCTGAGTGGTAGTCACAAGACAGGTTGAGTGTTTTACTGCTGTGTTCACTTAATGCAGTTAGTTAGTTGGTTTTCCAACTGTTCTGTTCAGTGATTTTGGGCATATGACTATACAACAGATGCACTCAGGTGGTCGAAACCTCTTAAAGCTTATTTTATTTAAAGTGAAACGCAAGCCAAATCAACTGCAGGAATCATTGTGCGTTAGGTCGGCTAAACAGTCACACAAACTTATTAAAACAGAAAAATAGATCATGTTCACAGTCGAGGGGCTCAAATGAATTTTTGACCTTAACTTAACTGTAAAAACAAAAGTGAAAAAGGTGACATTTATTTGTTGAGATTCTCATGCGCACTGGGATAATCCCTTTGTTATACATCACTTTGGGCAAAAGTTAAACCAAGGGTGTGACAACATTAGACATTATCCACAAATAACACTGATAGTCATATTTCTGAGGGCATTCTGTGACCCATGCAGTTTGATCCATGGCTCTTCATGTCCACATGTCAAAGCGAGAAAGTCACAGAACTCTCTCAATGGTTGAACTAGCTACTCATGGTCAGGCCAGCACCGTGGTAGCTCACTGCCATTAGTGTGTGTTAGATATGCAGTTCATTAACTATTTAACATGTTTTACATGAAAGACTTTTGGAGAGGATTTCTCCCATACAAGCTTTAATTAATATATTTATCTTGAAATTTTCTCATGTTAAAAATGTATAACTCCATAATTTCCAAATTGGATGCAGGATAAATCCCAGCTGTGAGAAAGCAAATTTCTCATCCTCAATATTTCTGTGTTAACCAAAGTGCTAAAGCCCATTGAATGCATCAGAGAACACCCCGTGGTTCACTCTGGCCTGCGCACATGGATGGGCTCATGCAGTGTGAGAACATATCAGCTGTAACTTAGTGGAAAATGGAAATTAATGAATTGTAGTAAAGATTTAAAATTCACATTTTGGAAATGTGTGAATTAATAAAGCAGAGCTACTGTTGCACTTGCAGTTTTCACCACTGTATTGTCTGTATTCAGGCCAAAACAAAAGCACTATACATTTGCAAACAACCCCTGATATCCAAACATCATGCTGTCCACCCTCTGTTCCTTTTCTACCAGCTAAAGTCTGCCCGGTAACCCACAGGTACCAGCCTGCCAGCTGCCAAACCTTTGGCTCCGCAGGGAAGAGCCACATCCAATCCACACACCCTCGTCTCTTTCTCTCTTTCTCTCTCTGTCCCTCTCTCTGGATGTCCACTCGTCCTGTTTGAAATATAGATAAGCTGTCAGCAGCCTGTCTCCAGCTCTCTGAGGCACCGCCTGGCACACATGTTTAAATCATGTCAGCAGACATGACCTGGGGCAGGGTCACCTTCCGGCTCGTCAGTGGTCTGCTGGACTTGAACACATACAGTATATACTGATCTTTGCAAGCAGAAAAACACATAGTTTAAATTATAGTAAAAGTGTTAAATAAATATATAAATCATAATCCCGATAAACATCTAGTTCATAGTTCTAACTTAATGATTCAGTACAGTTCATGGATGGTTTTACATAGCATGAAAACGCCACTGAATATCTGCCTGTTAAGCAATCCGTTGTAACCCACTGCAAGCTGTTACAGTAAATTGCAATGGTGAACACACCAAAAAACTTAAAACTTATTCAACAAGCTCCAAACAATTGCTTCTTCTCCAATAAATTGCTAAATACACTAAATGTTTGACACTCAAAACATATTTTCTTCCAGTTGGTCCTCAGGGCTAAAAGAACATAACAGTAGACAGAGTGCCAAAATAAAACACGAAAAATAATGCCACTTTAACAACACTACGGAGGCTCAGAAGAGCTTGAGGGCATTTCAGGACAGAGAAAGAATCACCTCTGCTACTCACCCCAGCTGTCTGTTGGACATCTGAGTCTGCAAACTGTCCTGATTTCTGCTCATAGTTTTGGCACACAGTTTGGTTGGACCTGCCTGTTTACTGACCACCTACATCTTTACACAGACATCTTTAAAACATGCTGTGAGACATCAGTTCAACTTTTAGTGTGGCAATAAATTCATGCCCTTCCTTTTTTCCAGTCAAAAATGTGTCTTTGTTACTGTATTGTGACACAAGCTAATGCTCTTAATAGTTGTTTGAAGAACCATACCAGTGTTTTAGCTACTTGAAACTGAACTGAATAGTTTGAAATTTTAAATGTTAGTTGGAAGTAGAGCTGCAACCATTAGTCAGTCAGCAGAAAATAAATATGAAGCTATATAATAAAGCTACTGTATTCATAATGAATTAATCATTTAAGTCATTTTTCAAGTAAAAAATACATGCATTTAATGGTTCTAGCTTCTCAGATATGTCAATTTCCCGGTTTTGGACGAAACATCATGGGAAGTTTTCTATTTTCTATTTTTTTATAGACTCAATTATTAACCGAGAAAATAAAAGTTAATTGATTATGAAAAGAACTATTAGTTGCAGCCCTAGAGAAAAAGTATTCTGGAGCCAGGCTGACTTTGTAGCAGTAGGTGATGCACAGTTGCACATGGCTTCATGGGAACAACTTCCTGTGTCTGCTGTTTGCTTGTTTAAAACACTGTGTGCTAGAAATCGATGTACAACAGCAGGTTTGCAAACATGTCCATGAATATTAGGAACAAACAGCTTCCAAACTGATTTGATATGTGCAGCCAGAGACCTCACATCTACATTCAAACACCCACACACCAAAAACTACTACAAACTCAAAGGACTTTAAGTTTCAGTCTCTGTGTGTCAGCACTGTCTACGCACGCACGGGTGCCTGTTGTTGATCCTGTGTCATGTGGGTGCTGATTTCAGCGGCTGCCTGTCACCGGGTGTCACTCGCTGTCACCCTGCCTCTCAAGCTATCTGAATCTCCCCCTCCATTTGCTTCTGTGTCTTTCAGTCCCAATGCTGTCACTCCCTGTTTTTAGTGTGACTGTATTTGCATGCCTCGCCCTGCGACCTTGAGTATATGAGTCACGGGGGGATGGAGAACAATTTTACTGAGGGCGCACAGTGGTTTTTGCAAGTGTAAACAACTTATTCTCAGTCGGCCCGCCGGCTGCTCGGCTCAGCTCTCAGTCAACAGGCGCAAGATAATGTTTATTCGTGCACGCAACCGGTGCATTCCCCTGATGGACTCAACGCCCCCAGCAACCAACTCCTTCTCATCCACTTCTCTCGTTCTCCCTCTTCCTCTCTCCTATGCTCAGCCTCTGTTTGCATTATCACCAGAGACAGGCAGCTCCCTCTAGAGCAACGAGACAGAAACCCTGTGTCGATCTCACCTGAGTGATCCCTGTCGTGCTGGCAGGGAACCGATGGTGGGCCTCGGTGCCACACATTTTCCAAAAAGGCTTCTTTCCAATTGTATGCCAAGGCCCGCCGAATGAGATAGAGAAATGTTGGACTGGGGGAGGAAGGGGGAGAAGGAGGGAGCTGAGGAAGAGAAAGCACGAATGGGTGGATGGGGTGAACAACGGCAATGTCTGTATTTGAGAGAGCCAGTAGATGTCTGAGAGATGTCTTCAATTGAGCGTGCATGGGTCCTAAATGGGTTTTCAGGGAGGGGGAAATAAAAGAGCCTGTCATCCCTTCACGCTATCTCTCCCTCTGTCTTGCTCACTCCCTCCTTCTCTTTCTATCTTCCTCTCCCTCCCTCTCTCCACGGGCTCTCCAGCCGCCTCTCATCCCCCTATTATTAGGGCCCAGTAATGAAATGTGGAGTGTCTCGTATTGGTGCCTGGGCCCCGGCAAACTGTATTAGTGTGTAAATGGTGTGGGAGTAATGAGAAAGCACTCAGGCCAGCCGGGAAGACTGGACCATGGGGCGTGTATTGTGTCTGTGTCTGTGCTTGTGTGTGCGTGTGTGTGTGTGTGTGTGTGTGTGTGTGTGTGCGCGTGTGTGTCTGCATGTAATGTGCATGGGCATCAAATGAATAACAAGAGACGTTGGGTGGAGAGGGGTCCCGGCTCTTGGGGGCCGGAGTGGTGTTTCTGTCTCGGATGCCAATCCTGTGATTGTTAGCCTCCAACAGAAGAGAGGCTTAGAAAATCTATTTGGTCAGCAGCACACAATCTCACTAGTGGCCTAAAGCATCAACGTCAGTGTCTTTATGTGGCTCACTTAATTCAACTCTTTTTAAGGTGAATTATGCAGGCTTAGCAAAAGGATTTATGCTTTAATGCCTTACGGACTGACTTCATTAAATCAGTGGCTACATTTTGCCATCACTAAAATCTGTCCATCCTTTCTAAAGCAGTGGTTTATCAGTCCTGATCCTCTGAATCTTATCAGCTATTGCATTCACCTTGCTTCCCAGCTGTAATTAGCCTCTGTTTAGCCGTCTAGCATGAAAACCAGCAGGGCTCTGGGCTCTCTGAAAATCACTGATGTAGCGCATAATGTCTCCTCTTCTTTTTTAACATCCCAGAAGGGGAATACCTGCTCCTTTCTTTTACACTGTCTCCCTGCATAATGTATAAGTGCACATTGCTCATACAAATGGCCCACACCACTGGCTATGTAATAAAGGGTTGTGTGTGAATGTGGCTGAGTGATATCATTCCATTTCCTCTGGCCTGGAGGGCCTAAAGCAGCAGCAGCAGAGACAAGACAGACACGCTCCATCCAGTAAATACGCTTTTCACGGCTGGATTTTTTTTCCTCTCTTCTCTTCAGATATGCTGCCTAAGTCGGTGGAAAGTGTCTTCATCTTCCAGGAAGGGAGCGAGAGCGAGCCGAACGTATCCACCACGACATATGACGCGATCGTAGTGGAGCAGTGGACTGTTATTGATGTAAGTGAAGAGATTTAACTTTTTCTTTTTTGAAATATTTTTTGGGGCTTTTGCCTTAAATCAATAGTGACAGGAAAGGGAGGAAAGCAAGAGGGGATGACACACAGCGAAAGTGCCACAGGGTCGAATCGAACCAATGGCCGCTGCAGCGGGAACTCAGCCTAGGTATATGGGGCGTCAGCTCATCAGGTGAGTTATGAGGGTGGCCTGAGACTTTTCCTTTTCTCACACTTTCATAGGTTTTGTGTTCTGTGTCACTGATCAGAGCTCTTTTCTAAAAAGTTGCATAATTATTTTTAATACATACATGCCCTAGCTTCAAGGACACTTTTACTTAACATAATTTATGTCTTGAAAAAAGCCACACAGAGGCCTATTTAAAGCTAGGGCTGGGCAATAATCAATATTGGTTTCTCAACTTCAAATGAAATTGTTTTTTAAAATTTCTGCTGTACAAATTCTAGGCTATTTGTAATTAAAACAGCTTAGTATCCAAGCAATTCATTTATTCAGGAAACATTCATACTAGACAATTTTACACCTTGTGACTTACGTCCAATGCCAGCACTCGGTGCCATTGTAGGAAATTGAGTTCCCTTAATGGATGAAAGTGGCTAATTAAACATAAAACCTGAATAAACCTGAGTGGATAAACATAAGTATTGCAGTTGTTTTCATACATAGTACAGGCTCACTGAATAGTTTGGTGAGTAAGAAAAGGATGTGACTCATAAGCTATGGCCTTCAAAGACACCACATCTCTACCCAAATGAACATGACTGGGAGAAATTACATATTAGATAGCTCTCTCTCTCTCTACCACCATCATCACAGCACCAAATAAGGGAATATCTAGAATAGTGTTTACCCCTCCAGTAGAGGTTCAGAGACTTGGAATCTATGCCAAGGGGCATTGGAGGCTTGTGGCAGCCCAACACCTGACTGTGAATCTTTTTTTAGTTTGTCACCAATCAATCAAGTATTATTAATATTATGGTATTCAAAAATATATTTAACCCACATTGCCAAGCTCTATTTAGAGCACAAATCCTCTTTAGGACTATGGTCCTCTGGCATTGAAATCAGTTGTCCGTCAGATACTGTGCCCTTTCAACCCCTCCTCACTCTACAACCCATCTTTCCCCCAACAACCCCAAAGGCAAATCTGGTAAATCTCAATTTATGGGACATGTGTCGGAGTTGCTTGTCTTATCAGGAGCAAACAAGCCCTTATCTGCCCGCCGATTAGTGTCTCTCCTCAGCACAAGTTCCAAGTTGGAAATTGATTTCTGTCAAGAGTTGAAGGATCTGTGGCCATTTTGTTGCCTTTCATCTGTATGTGTGTATGTGTGCGTGTCCGTGTGTGTTGCATGTTTGTGCATGCAGCTGTATGTGCATGTGTTTGTGGCCCCTAAGTGTGCGTGGATGACTTTGGTTTTGTGTGTCTGTACGTGTTTGCCGATGCTATCTCTGTAATTGAATTTAGACTTTTTTGCGGCCCATGGCTGTCCAAGTGTGAAAGGAGACTTTTGTCCCCGAAATGTGGCTCTGTGATTGTCCAGCTCAGTGCTGATGGCCACATGTGCCAATAAAAAAGACTGTAGTCGTCTGGCGGAAGCAGGAGAGCCTCCCCTCCTCTGAGATGAATGGTAATACTGTTACAGCTTAATGGATTTCAAGGCTTCCTCAGAAACATCAACAGTGAGTGACGCCGAACCGACACCCAGTGTTCCAGGAGATCCAATCAACTCTTCCACTGGGACTTTATCAAAAACTGTTTCACCCGAGCAATCTGCACCATGCCAAATCAGATTGACAACGCACTCTTTCACAAAGGGCGATCAGGGCCTCACATCATCCCTATTCATTGTGATAACTGCCTAAAATTGGTATGCAAAGTATCCTCACAGCTCATTATTGTTTCAGTGCAGAGATAATTACAATGAAAAATAAGGCAGAATATTGATTGCGAGTGGAGTTTTTTCTTCTTCTTTATATACGTCATCTTCTTTCCCCCCCTAATGCTTTACAGTTTTATTTATCCAAAAGTCTGACAGGTGGTTGGATGTATGAAGCTCAGAGAAGAAGAGGAAAACAAGCTTTTTCATTTAAGCAATCATTTATATTGTCGTCAAGTGGGAGTGTATCATCTCAGGGATGGTGTCTGTTCATCAGTAGAGAAAAAAAAGTGTTTTTAATTGTTCCATTTATAAATGAGTTACAACTAATCAGACGATTTGCATGTGAAAAGTGCTGATCTACAGGTGTTCGCAAAGCAGCAGAGTCGTGATGAGCTGTAGAATTAAACCCATTTCTTTTGCTGTACATTACCTTTTTTAGTGAGTAACATTTAATGTGTAACTGATTACATTTTTTAAGTAACTTGCCCAATACAGGTGAAAAAAAGACTGCATACACCCCAGTCTATACTAAAACATAATTTTAAACATTATTAACAGCTTCATAATAGTTAGAGTTAAAATAACTAACCCATAAACTAATGGGTCATAAGATTCTGACTTCAAAACAAATCATAGATAAAAATCAAAGAAGAAAAACAAGTAACAAAAATAAATGTCAAACCAACAAAGTAAGATGCAAGTGCTATGGAAACTAAATGACAAGAGAACACAGCCTGGAGGAAAACAGAACAAAAACAACATACATACACGGTGCTCAGCTTTTAGACGGCTGCGTATATTCTGCATAAAAATGCCATCAGTGCTAAAGAGCTCATCCAGACATTTCTTGTAGCTTTTCACAAAAAGCAAAACAACACAGATTTTGGACAGATGTCCTAAATACATTTAAAGATGCAGCAGTTGCCTGATCAGTTTTTTTTCCTTAGCAAAATGACCTGAATAGAAACCATATGGATGGTGATGAAGTGCTCCAAATGAATAACTCATCAAGGGTCTCTGCTATGAAACTCCAATTAGGACCAGCTTCACATTTTCCTTTGGGAAAATCAATACAGGAGCTGCCTTGAAACTAATGTACTGAAAGCCCTCTTTTCTATCACTGAGTTTCACAGGAGCAATAACAAAACAAAACATGGTCTCCTTTAAACCTCAGCTAGGGTTGGTCTTAATATGTTTGCTCGCCATGAGCTGCTGCAGCAGAATTTATTTATCAAGAGAGACAAAGTGCATTAGCAGGAGGGTGTTGTGTTTTAGTCTTTCTGTATCCAGATAAAACAGGGAAGGAGCACCGGAATCACATAAACATCCATGTATGTGTGTTTTATTAAAAGATGAACTGATATTCACCTTAGCACAGCTAACGCCTATGAGGAGTCTGATGTTTCTTAGAAGCCTCTTATCCTCGCTTTCATACCTTGCTGAAATGTTGTTTAGAGCACCATTATCCACTTTAAGTCTACCAGGCCCAGCAGTAGGTCCATTATGTATGTTGTGCAACAAGCTGTATTCTAAATTCTCAAGATAATACAAAGATTTTACAAATATATCTAGCATGTCATGCTAGTGGGAAAAGGTTTATTAGATTGTGCATATCATATTTTCATCTTATCTAATGGTGCAGCCTTAAAAAACCTCACATCTATTCAATTCAATTCAATTTTATTTGTATAGCGCCAATTTATAACAGAAGTTATCTCAGGACACTTTTCAAATAGAGCAGGTCTA